ATCTGAAGTTTAGGGTCATTAACCATCTGCGCAATCTTCTTTGACAATACTATCGAATTACTGACCAAATCATTATTGTTGGTCAGATTGTTCTCATCGTTGGTGATGCTGGGGTCCCCATTTGATGTTACCGGAGGAGAACAAACCTGCTTGCTCTTACCGTAAGGGTCTCTGAGAAACGATTGATTTCCATAGAACGATGGATTGTTGTCCTGTTCTATATCGCCGAACAAGTTGTTATCGTTGGGATTCATTACTGGTGTATTGTAATCACTCAGTAACCTTATTACTGCTCATATTTTTGTTTAAAGATATTTGGTGTACTGCATATAGCGTAGTCCACCAAAATGCTACTAGTTAGTTACTTGGAGTCCCTAGCAGGTGTATGGGCGAGTATATTAGGCTTCAATGGGATCTACTTGATAAGATAAGCAAGTTCTGGTTTTCAGCTTGTCTATTTTTTTCAAATCACCTTTTTTTTTAAAACATTGTTTTCAGTCAACTCCATTATCTTCGATAAGGTGCAACTGCCTCTATTTGGAATTAAGCAGATGCCACTATTGTCCCTATAAGAGACACGACGCCCTTATTATCGATTTCTTACATCCCAGTTTCATGATCTTGCTACCTTTTAACGGCGTATTGCCTCTACATAGGGCCTCTACCAAAGATATTTAGACCACATATGCGCACCCAGATATCGTATCTGTCCTAATTTTCCCTTTTTTTCTCCCTTGGCAACGGATATCTCCCGCGAACCGTCCACTGGTGTCTACTTGAAATTTTTGAGTTCAACAAACGAGGTGTATCTCGCAGCTATCTTTTGCGCTCTGCTCACACTTCTAGTCTGTTCCCATATCCAGATCCCCTCCAATCCTTATCCTCCGCCGTATAGTAGATATAGCTATCCCCATTCGATACTTTATTTGCCCTTTCTGTTTCTTTATTAGCCTCATTCGCCCTCATCCGTCGTCTCGCTCCATGCGCGACCTTCCACGTTTTTATTATGTACTCATATTTCATCAATCTAAGCAGCCCGCCTCAATTAACTCTCCGGTAATAATCTTCCACTAATACCAGTTTCTGGCGTCTCGTGGTCTCACATAGCAATATCTTGCATATCTCGTTGCATGAACTATTATTTTCAGCCATTACATCTATGGCTTTGCTTACGAAATTGCATCTGTCCCAAACAGATCTAACTTAATATTCAATCTCATATATCTCTTCATATACATTTATATCCCTTTCTTCATATCCTTCGGAACCAAGAACCTATGCCACCTTTAAGCTTTAGTATTTCCTTCTCTTGCGTGTATCTACGTACTATATGCTCCCATACCCCCCCCCCCTCTCTTCCCCCCCGCAACCAATAAGCCCGGCCGTTAAGTGGCGGTCGCATGTTCGAACCTCATCTCGGCGATCTGCTCGTGTTTTAATTACGATAACAATTTCACCTTTGCGGGTTGCGTCATTATGTAAACAACAAAGAGACCTTTACTTAAGTCGAACAAATTTAGGTACCAAAAAAGCATCCAGCATCGTTCCATAAATACATTTACAAAACAAGCGACTTTATTACTTAGAGAATGGTAGCATTAAATAACTTGTTTGGCATGAGTAAGCTATATGTCAAACATTCGAAGAGGATCTTGCTAGTGTGCTTGATGCTCGCTAGTATCCAAGTATTCTATTTGGTGCATAGAAATAAATGGTCCCTGAATCTGATTTCCTTAAAAAAAGAAGGATACAGATTAATTAAATATTTTGAAGACTCGGAGTCGGGATTCATGGTGGTTGAGAAGTCATACAACATCAATAAGAATGAGGCCGACCGAGCTAAAAACCAAGATGAGGACATCGATAATAATAAGTATAATATAGAGACGATCGAAGGATACAAATACGAAAATCAACAGGTAATAGACCGGAAACAACAGGTATTACAAGAAAACTCTTCTGTGGAGGAAAAGATGGAATTTGAAACAAGGTTTGTAGAGAGACTAGTTTCGTTTTTCAGTGATTTATTTGTGCTAATCGAATCGTGTGGACCAGATATTGACAAGGTGAACGACGACGACCACTACAAGGCATCAAAGGAAGCAGACAAGTTCCCCAACAGGGATGGACGTGTTCCTACATATGGTGGCCATTTACGGGAGAATTACCTTGAGGAGCCTATTAGGACTAAGGAAATGCTCGAAAGCTACCTTCAGTTGTCCAAAGAAGAAATATTTGCGTTGACAAAGTCTCAATCGAAATTTGTGGAAAACATGCCCTCTGAATACCCACTGGAGATGGTAGAGCTAAGTAAATATAATCGATTCTTGAAGGGCGATGGGATTGTGTATCTTGGGGGTGGAAAGTATAATCAGCTTGTGATGCTCTCTTTGAAGTTGTTGAGGTCGCACGGATCGCAATTACCAGTCGAAGTGATCATACCCAAGAGAGAAGACTTTGATATCGATTTCTGTAACCGAGTACTTCCGAATATGAATGCTAACTGCAAGGTCATGTCCGACTACTTACCCGACAATATCATGAAAACGATAGGAGGATTCCAGTTCAAAACCGTTGCATTATTGATTTCTTCGTTTGAGAATGTATTATATCTAGATGCTGATAATTTACCGATCAAGAACGTTGATTTATTATTTACAAACAAGCCATATACTGATAAACATTTAGTATTATGGCCTGATTTATGGAGAAGATCTACGTCTCCTAGCTTCTACGATATTGCTCAACTTCCAACAGATAATAAGAAGAGGGTAAGAAATAGTTATTTCCCTGGCGACTCCAGAGGAACTTCTGGTCAGATACTGTATCACGATTCTGAGGGTACCATTCCCGAAGCATCTAGTGAAACGGGTCAAATATTGATAAACAAGAAGGTTCATTTCAAGACTTTAGTTTTGTCGATGTATTATAATTTCTACGGGCCCGATTTCTATTATCCATTACTCAGTCAAGGTGCAGCTGGTGAGGGTGATAAAGAAACTTTCATTGCTGCAGCGCATAAACTCAAATTGCCATACTACCAAGTTCAGGAATTTAATAGAGAATTTGGCCCAATTAATCATGACACCCTTAAGCACGAGTATTTCGGCATGGGTCAATATGACCCTATAATTGACTTCATACAATCTTCCAAGCATGAGAAATATATTAATACAGTCGACCCCACATATGCCAAAAGTAACACTGATGTTCATAACAGCAATTACGAGTATCATTTGTATCATTCTTCAAGCTTATTATTCCTTCATGCAAATTGGCCTAAGTACTATGTCCGCGACATGCTTTTAGGAAATGCAAATGGAAGGGGTCAAAAGAATGAAAACGGGATGAGAAGAAGATTGTATGACAAAAATTTAATACAAGAACTCAATGGATATGACTTTGAATTACATATTATGGAAGAATTAAAGTGGTGCTTCTGTAACTTGGTCAACATTAATTTGGTAGATGTGCCCCATGCCAAGGATAGTGTACGTAGTGATATCTGTAAAGAAATCCACCAGCAGATTGAATTTTTGCAAAAGAATAAATAGTTTATCTTTAATCACAAACTTACTCATTAATGAATGCATCTATACTCCCTATACGATACTTGTAGCGTAGTACCCTACATTAAGAGTAGTGACTCCTATAGTTATAGAAACTAATCATAAAAGCTGTTCTGAAATCTTACACCATT